TTCCCAGATGCCCCTCAATGCCGTCATTAAAGCCAAGTAACCCATCCTCCCACATTCCCACATACCCCTCTGTAAACCCATGTTACCGCTCCCCAGACATTCCCTTACACCCCCCCAGACATGTTACCCCTCCCCAGACATTCCCGCATGGTTACCTCAATGAAGACAGTACAACAAACCGAAATACACAAACACAAAAGCCATAGTAAGAAAAAAACTGAACAATGAAAATACGAAGTAACCAAAGCAACTAAAAGAAGTGGAAGCATGGTAAAATACATGAAATCTCAATGGAAGCACGGAGTCGCACAGTAGTGTCAATATGAAGAAAAAACAAAAAAGTAAACAAGAGGAAATATTATAAAAGAAGAATAAGTAAAAAATAAAACCAAAAAAACAAGAAGAAGAACGAAACCTGTGAAACTCTAAATGAAGAAAGATACATACAAACATCATCGGCGCGAAATTGAAGTCCTAGTCTACAGCGCATCGCACTGCCCGTCGTCTGTGTCATCATCGTCGATAATGCGCTCTCACCGCCTTTGCGGCACCTTCACTGCGGTCTCCTCTCCTCCCCTGGATGCTGTGACACAGACACGACATGACTGGCAACTGCTCTGGCTGCTACCCTCTATGCCTCCTGGACCTCCGCCTCTTTCTCAACACCCCCTCCAGCAGAACGTCCCAAAACGCTAGTCAGAGTCGTGTATGTCTTTCTACCCCTAGGCATGGGCACCCCATCCGTCGCGGAATCCTCCGTGCGCCCCCCAACAGCTCGACGACTGCCCAGTCCTGTACCTGTCTGACGTCCGAAGTGCCAGGATCAGGGTCATCCTCTAGCAATGCTGGGGGTGGTCGGGGACCTGGCAAAGCACGTGTGGAAGATCGCCCTTCGGACGTCGATGACCATCTCGCTGTGCCGCACCTGCCGTGGGCGGTCGTGACGGCGGTGCAACCATCGTGCTGCCCCATCGATCTGCAGCACACGACGACCCGGCACCAGGATGCTCCAACCTATCTCCCTTCCGTACCCAGCCTGTTGCGTCCGCAAACATCTCTGTCAACCTCCCCTCACGATCCCTCCTCTCACCCGTGACCCCAGGCATAGCATCCTTGAGTTTGCGGGTGACCCTGCTGATGCTGCTCCACGATACGAACTTCCCCTTCGCCTTCGATGAAGGTGATGGAGAACCCTGCACCTGCCCGCGCCCTCTTGCCGTCGCCGGCGCAACATAACCCTCTCCCCAACCAATACTCCCGCCCGAAATGCCCGACCGTCCACCGACAACTGCGGGACCACCTCCCCGCCCACAACACTGCCACCAGACTCACCTCCCCGTCCACTCACCGCCCCTGCACATGCTGGTCGTGTCCCTGCAGCAACTGGCCCTGCTCCCCATGATACCCCTCCCGACTCGATAACCCTCTGACCTGTCAACTGCTCGAACAAGTCGGCCATCTCCATAGTCTTCCCAATACCCCCGAGGGTGCTGGCGGACTAACAGGCACGAAAGAAGATGGAGGCACAACCTTCCAAAGCCTCTTCGATATATGCCTGCTCCTGCCCATCACTGGATCAATCCCAGCAGTGTGGCGCTCGAGTGGGGACATGCTGGGCACGTGTGCCTCTACAGGGTGTGCAACGACGTCCCTGGGGTCCACATGTCGCTCCTCCTTGTTGCGATGTGCAACCATAGCATCCACCGCGACAAGACCATCCTGAGTGTGATCTGCGACCACATCCTTCATGTGTTGATACATGCGCTGCGCCCCTCAACGACTACACGCCAGACATCCCTGCTTGGGATGATGATATAGTCTGAACTTTGCGGCAATGGCAACGCCGACAAGTGCTTTATCCACCTGCCCCTCCACCTCCGTGCCATCGCACCCAAGCAACCCCCCTGCGTCTGTCGTGGCCGCACCGTCGCCCCCTTCTGCCTCATCAGTAGTGGGTAGTACCGTGTCGCTGGCCCTACATAAACCACCCAACCCTACCCTCTCGTCCTCCTGGTGGTCGTCCGCACGATCCACCATGTGTCCCTCTGTGCAGAGTCCTCCACCATCTGCAACATCAGCAGGACCATCGTGTCTACACTCTGCTGCTAGTCTGGCGGCAGTGACCTCCTCTACACTACACCCCATCTCCCTCGCCCTGGTCGTGTCCTGCTCCAACGCAAGCCGCTGTGTCGTGGCACACCCCGACACCATTCGTGCCAAACGCTCCTCCTCAACCACGTCCTCGGGGTCCATATGTAGCCTCCTAGCAACACGACCGACGTCGTCACCAGTCCTGCCCTCCTGTATCTCGCCTGACGCTCTGGCAGCCTCTGTCAACAAACCTGAACTAGCACCACCAAAAACCGACCCTATGAGGTGTGCACCTCCGCTCACCGGTGTCTGAACACGCACCCCGCCGCGCCGAGCATCTGAAGTGGGTGGACGTCCAAGGTCGAAGCTGTCACTGAAAATGCCTGAGGGAATCGATCCCTGCTGTACCTCCAAACCAAATCCAGTTCCGCCACTACCGCCCCCGCCCACTGCACTGGGGCTAGGAGTAACAAGGAAGGCACCACCCGCTCCCTCCTCAATCGGCCCACTGTCGTCACCGCCGTCGAATCCATGCTCGTCCCCATGTCCTCTGTCCTGGTCGAGTCCCTCTCTCTCGACGTCGGAGTCCTTGTCATCGGCGGCATCTCCGTCGTCAGACCTGTCACCTCCCTCGTCCTCGCTCGACGATCGCACAACCTTTGTCTGCTTGCGCCCTCTATCAGTCGCACTCCTAGTCAAGGGAGGGGTCATGCGATCAACATCACAATGGCTCTGCCGATCCCGCGAACGCATATCACTGGCAGCCTCATGATCACTCTCTCCGCCGGACTCGTCACCAACATCAGGTGTGTCACTGCCTCTCTGCTCCAAGTCCTCCGAGTCCGTCCAGGGCTCTGCCTCCATCTCGTCTGCAGCATGCGGGTCCGTGGGTGGATCGTACTCGATCTCCTCGTGGTACAGCTCAATATGAGCTGCACGACGACGAAACACAGTTTGAACCGCAGGGGGGTGGCGAACCGTCGAGGCACGCTGCATCCTGCGCGCCTGGCGCGCGATCTCCTCGTCCGTCAATGACCCCGGCGGTAGAGTACCTGATCTCCGCGGCTCCGGGACGTCGTCCAACCCCTCCTTAAGATCACCCCACAGCAGAACAAGTCCCCTCCTCCTCTCTCTACACGCCAGGAGCTTCTTGTTCGCGCACATCTCCACCATTTCAGTCAGCTTCGTGAAGTCCAACCCGTTCCGGCGCTTCTCGTGGATACGCTCGTGCAACGCCCAGTTCCTCTCTGTAGGAGAGGCGCAGACCCACGTGTACATCAGACGTGTGGCGATGGCACAAAGCTCAGGGGCATAGCTGCCGTGCAAAACCCACCAATCAGCAATGCCCTGTGTCTCATCCGACCTCTCGCACGTGTCCTCGTCTCCAGTGCCTGCATCTCCACCCCAATCATACCTCTGCCCGCGCGCGTGGAAGTCGTACAACTGCTGACGGACCAACCTGTACCTGGCTCCCTGCCGGTCGAAGCCCGTCTGCATGTAGATGTACTCAAGTGTGATCTCCGCCACCTTCTTCTGCTGATCGCTGTGCCTTGGAGACTGGAAGTAAACGAAGTTCCGCCTCTTGGGATTGAGAAGATGGGCGGGAGCATGAGTGGGCTCGAGCAGATGGCATGCACGAGCGTAACAATCCTGCAGCATGCCAACTAGACGAGGTCTCGTCGACTCCAACTTCCGAATCTCCTCGGCCAACTGGGTAACCTACCGGAAGATGCAAGAGATCACCAAACCCCCCTGGTCCAACATCCTCAACACAATTGCACGACCGGGGTGAAGACGTCGATGAGATCATCCATCTCCTCCCAAAACAGCCCGCATCGCACCTGTGTGCGCACTCACCCGGCCTGCCCGAGAAGCCTCCTCTCCCATGGAAGTCGCGCCCAATCCCCCTCCAACATCATCGTCTCAAGTGGAACCCTGCGGTCGTGCAACCTCTCCATCATGATGTACATAGACGTGAATCGTGTCTGGCAAGGGTACAACAACTCTCGTCCTCGTCGTGGTCTGCCTACTGTCCCCTCTCCGCCCGCGGCGCTGCCACCCAAACGGTCCGCCCGTGCATCGCGATCGGGCCTCGCGCTGTAACTCCTGAACAACGCGAGAGCCGATCCATGACATCTAATGAATCGGACAACCGCCCTCGCCCTGGTCAACAAGTCGATGGCCCATGTCTTATCCTTGACCATGTCTAACAACATCAAGTTGCAGCAATGGACAGAACAAGGGAGCCAAGGGATGCGACAGGTATCTAGATCGGGATCATTGCAAAGCGCTCGACCGGCGGCGTCATAAACTGATGCAGAGTTCGTGCAGATGGCGTTGATGTTCTTCACGCCGAACTTCTCGAACACCTTCTTCCAGCACTGCAAAACGACGTCTGACGTTTCTGCGTCAACCCCTTCCCTGCGCACCGTTGTGAAAAGGAAGGCGCCCGACTGTCCTGCTGCCAGGAAGTTCACGATGTGCTCAGAGTTCAGAGACTTCCTCCCATCCGTAAGGATGGTAGCCCCTGTGTGCTGCATCTGCTCGCGTATGTCACGTAGCTTATCAACTATGTACGCACGCTCCTCCTGTATGCCACTGCCTGCTATGCGCTTGAACTGGGGCAAAGTAGTCTTCATGCCCCTGGGCATATTCTGCAAATGTCTTGTGAGGGCCCTGTACTTGGCCATCCTCGCCCTCTCAAATGGGACACTGCCAATATACCACCACTGCAGGAAGAGATGGTCGAAGGTGGTCTGCCACTCCGGGTTGTACATCTCATCCAGTCTGACCTGCTTCAAACGTTTCGGGTCCGGCACGCGTGCCGTAGGAGCGGTGTCCGCCCTCCTCTTCCCACGGCCATCCATAGGCGCACGAGTCCTTGTCTGATGAGCAGTGGGTCGTGCCTTCAATGATCCCCCTTGAAGATATGCTCCTAACTCCTGAACATTGTCCTCACCGCCGTCCTCCGTCGGTCCCTCCCCCTCACCCTCCGCCCCTGTGTTCATCTCATCGTCCTCGCTGCCACACTGCCCTCCCTCGCTGTCCGCCCCCTCCCTGTCCAAAACATCCTGCACCTCGTCATCCTCCGGCACTCCACCTCCCACCTCTCTGTTATTTCGGATGCCACGATACTCCATGTAATCCCGCACCTGTCTCTCTCGCCGCTCGTCGAAAGGGTACTGTGTGGTATTCCAACTGTCGACGAGGACCTCTGGTGTCACCTTGGGGCACCTACCCTTCGTGAAGTGCTCAGCACCTCGCGCCTGACTGCCCTGGAAAGGTGGTTTGTCGCAGAAGCGGCACTTCATCTTGAAGTTGCCCTTGCAACTCTCCAGCGTCTGACCCTTCGTCAAGTACTTGAATATGCAGCACTGACGAATAGCCTGTCGCTGGTCGTCGTCCTTGACCGGCACGAAGGCCTCCTTGGCGCCCTCCCCTTCCCCCTTTTTCTTTTTCCCTGCTATCCCCTACCCCTTTTTCTTTTTCCCTGTCATATCCACCCCCCCCCCCCCCCCCCCTTAATTGTGTCCCGACGGGCCGCCGGTTGCCTGGGGTACCCTGCCCGGAAGGACCCGCGCCCGGACCCGTCGACGGGCCGTTGCCTCAGCGCTTACACCCTCCGTTTACAATTCCGTTCACCCGCGTGAAAGGATGTGAACGGCCAAACGATTTCGTTCACGCGCGTGAACGGGCGTGAACGACGATGTGACCGGCTCTCTCTCTCTCTCTCTCTCTCTCTCTCTCTCTCTCTCTCTCTCTCTCTCTCTCTCTCTCTCCACGTGGCAGCGCACCCCCTTCAGCGCGCAAGGCCACCTCTCTCTCTCTCTCTCTTTTC